ACTCAGGCACCATACTCACAGTAATGGGGTTTAATAGTAAAGTGCACAGGTTACATTGAGTTCAGGGTCAGCAATGCTCAGGGCATAGTTGTTCTAGTTAGGACAACCTCTCTTCAGCCATGCCTACACACAAGCCTCTCTCTGCCCAGCCAATGTTACAAAACACATTAGGGCTGCTGATGAATGCCTAGAAGACACACTACTCCACCATAAACCTTAGCCTGAAGGCACTTGGCTCTAACTCTGTGTGTCAACAAACCTAGTTTCCTAATTAACTGCCTGATGGCACCCTACTCTGCAAACAAGTCTCCTGTCCAAAGTTACTCAACTTTACTTGCTCCATAGTCTGGGAAGCCCAACACTCTGTTTCTACTGCTGCTGGTCATCTGCCACTTCTTTAATGTCACAGGGATCTCAGCATCCATAGGACAGACTCCACTCCTGGCTCTTCTTTGATGATAATAAGATTCCCCTTCCTGCTTCTAAGATGAGTCATTTTAAATCTAGCGGGATGGGAACGTTGACCAATTCTTAGATTTCCAAGTGTTTTTGGTTGTAATCCTGTTAACACTCACTCATAAGTGAATCATATCCATCAGCATCTTCCTCCACCTTCTCTTTACCCAGACCTATCAGGAAAAAACTCATTTGGTGGGAATTTACAAAGACTGTCAGCACAGTACCACCGCCACCACCACCACCACAATGGCTACCAGAAACAAATAATAATTCACTGCACCACACAAGGATAAACCCTACGTGGTTATTTTGTAGTCTCTGATGCATAATCCCGTTGGAAACTATCCTCTTATCTCCTTAGTTTCTGCTGTTACTGCTGTTTTCTTTTTGTCTCTGGTAACCTTTCTTTTCAAACAGATCTCCCCTAACTAGACTAACTTTAAGAATCCCCTGTAGTCTACACCTTCAGCCTCCACTTCCTCTTCTCACTCTCTGCCCCAGAGATCCCCAGAGAGCTGTTCTTAGGATCTGTCTTTCTGTTTCCTGCATTGGTTAATACGGCAATCCGTGGTTTTCTTCCTGAACTTTTCACTCCTCTGGTCTTAAAGGTCTTCCTTCTGCCCTGTCCAGCCCCCAGCTCCAACCTTCTGTGGCAACCTCCTGAGTCATCTCCTACTCCCCTTCTTTTGCCCTCTGAATGAATCTTCCTGAAGCCTTCTGCTGATCCTAATACACTTTGTCCCAATAGTTGTTTGTGGCTCTCATTGTGTGGGGGTTGCCCTTGGCATTCTCATCCTGATAACCACACACCCCTTTGCTCTGACTCCTACCAGCCTTTCCAGCTGCATCTCCTCTTGGGGACTTGTGTTGGAAGATTAGGGAGCTTGGGTTCCTTATTCAAGGACTCAGAGTACCCTGGGGACATGCGCATCCCTAGCCTGAGTCTCCTGGGCTACTCTCATCTGGGTCATCTTTCCCATGCTGCCAGCTTGCTCCTAAGTCAGAGGTCCAACACTCCCCGGGCTGCTTTCAAATCTCTTCTCATCCCTCCAGCACTTCCCCTGCCTCTACCCAAGGTGTCTGTACCCCTTATTTGGGATGAATCAATTACTACTTCCTATTGCTGACTCCTTTATGCTTATCTCCTCAACTAAATTGTGAACTTCCGTAGAGCACAGGTCTTCTTTCCTTGTTATGAATAGTTGGCATGTTGTATGGCATATGCTTACAGTTTCTGAACATTAGAAAGTGATAATGAGAGGATTCTGGGCTTGGTGGGTTTGAGGTGGGAGGTGGTGGGAGTTATTAGGCATCAGGAGTAGATGGCTGAGTTGGTAGAGTTGTGATGTGAACACACCCCTTCCCTGAAGGTACACACAGGAGGAGGCACCTGTGTAATATCTTTGTCACATGAGGGGGATCTCAGAGCATCCTTCACTTAGTGTGCACTTAGTGTGCAGCCAAGGAAAGAGTGAGGCTTTGAGACGAAAAAGAGAGCAGACAGGTACAGGGAATTGCTAGGAAAAGATGCACCCACAATCTGCATGGACCCCACATGACCTCTGGGTCCAGACACTGGCTGATGACCTGGGGGAAGGTCAGAGCCACCTCAAAGCTGGATTGGGAAAAGGTTTCAGGTAGAATGCAGGCCTGAATCAAGGACAGAACTTCTGGATTCCAGAGACAAAGGGACCCCTAGAGGAGTAGAGTCCCTGGTGATATAAATGGTTAACTTGCCCCACTGCTAACTAAAATTTGGGTAGTTCAAGTCCACCTAGAGGCATCTCAGAAGAAAGAGCTAGTGGCATACTTCCCAAAATATCAGCCATTGGAAACCCTGTGGAGCACAGTTCTACTCTGATAAACCTGGGTTGTCATGCATCAGAGTCAACCTGAAGGCAACTAGAAAGAAGAGAGAGTAGCAGCCATCTTCCAGGTCACTGCTAGGTGGCTGAAGTCCCAGGGGAAGACTGTGGGATCCAAATGGACAAGTGCCTTCTTCATTCTGGGGACTCAGGGCCAGTACAGGGCTCCAGAGGGCCAAAAGAGCCATGATGCTAGGTGCAGGGTTGGACTTGGGCTCCTTTCTGGGATTGGATGGCATTAGGAATTAAGTTTTGGTAGAGACTGATGGAGGTGCAGTTTAAATCCACCGCAGACTGGATACCTAAGCCTCTATGCTTGGCGTCTTTATTGGCTCCGAGGAAAGAACCAGAGTAGACTCCGGGTACCACAAAAGCTGAACCTGCCAAGAGAAAGTTTAATTGAACATCAATTCACTAAGACATGAAATATGCTATGTAAAGTTGCTTTTGTGAGTTATGTTGTGGCATGTATTGTTTTTCCTCTGCTTTTCGGTAAATATTCCTTTCAAAAGAATTCCAACCTTGTCTCTGCTGACCTGCAGGGACATAGTATTTTTCCACACACACATCTTGGTGAGCGCAGAGAAAGGGATGGGTGTGGAGGCAAGGGGAAAGGGTGAACAGTCTCCAGCTGGTGTGGGGGGTTATCAGGGAGCTTTGGTGTTGGTGCAGAGAAAAAATGAAACTGAGGGAGATAAAGAGATGAGGCCAGCTATGGACACTGGACCCTGCTGAGACCACTTTCTTCTTTTTTTCAAAAATTGTATTGAAGAGAGATATAACAAAACATATGCCATCTCAGCAATTTCAGTAACAGTCATTACATTCTGCAAATGGTACAACCGTGCTCACCATCCTTTTCTAAATCATTTTACTATTATTAACATAAAATCAATGTCCTCTAAGCAAAAATTCCCTTTCTTCTTCTTTTATTCCCCTGATATTTGGCATAGTGCTGGGTATACCATGGGTGACCAGCAAGTGTCTAATTCATGGGTGCTGATGTCTGGGGAATAGTAAGTTAATGCCCTTCTCTAGAAGGACAGCCCTTTGCCCTATGCTGGGCACTTTCAAAAACTGAAATCCCACCACCCTCATATAACCTTCCTGCTATCTCCAACATCAGGTCTGTCACAGCATTACCAGTACCCTTAGCCTTTTAGCTCTTAAGGCGCCTAGTGGTGCAATGGCTAGTGCTCTGTTGATAACAGAAAGATTGGTGGTTCGAACCCACCAGCCGCTCTGCGGGAGAAAGATGTGGCCGTGTACTTCCATAAAGATTGTTGCTATTGTTGTTAGACACCATCTATTCGGTTCTGACTCATATCGTTTGTAGTTATTAGGTGCCATCAAGTCAGTTCCAGTTCACAGCGACCCTATGCACAACAGAATGAAATGCTGCCCAGTCCTGCACTGTCCTCACAATTGTTATCCTTGAACCCATTGTTGCAGCCACTGGGTCAGTCCATCTCGTTGGGGCAGTGATCCTGTATACAACAGAGTGACACACTGCCTGGTTCTCTTCTATCCTGATGATCCTTGTTATCCTTGAACCCATTGTTGCAGCCACTGGGTCAGTCCATCTTGGTAGGGTTCTTCCTCTTCTTCACTGACCCTATCCTTTACCAGACATGATGTCATTCTTCAGGGACTGGTTCCTTCTGATAACATGTCTAGAGTATATGAGTCCTGCCATCCTGACTTCCAAGGAGCATTCTGGCTGCACTTCTTCCAAGACAGATTTGTTTGTTATTCTGGCAGTTCACTTTCAATATTTTTTCACCAATACCATAATTCAAAGGTATCAATTCTTTTGTCTTTCTTACTCGTTTTCTACATTAGCATGCATATGAAGAGACTGAAAATACCATGGTTTGGGTGAAGCACACCTTAGTTCTCAAAGGGACATCTTTACTTTTTAACACCTTAAAAAGGTCTTTTGCAGCAGATTTGCCCAATGTAATATTTTGTTTAATTTCTCAACTGCTGTTTCTATGGACATTAATTATGGATCCAAGAAAAATTTAAATCCTTGATGACTGGAATATTTGTACCATTTATCATTATGTTGGGAATATTTTTATTTTCTTTATGTTGAGGTGTAACCCATACTGATCTTCATCAGTAAGTGCTTCAAGTCTTCACTGTGAGCAAGCAAGTTGTGCCAGGTGCATAATGCAGGTTGTTTCTGAGTCTTCCTCTAATCCTGATGCTGCCTTCTTTATACAGTCTAGTCCAGCTTCACAGATGATTTGCTCAACATATAGATTGAATAAGGGTGTGGTGAAAAATATAACCCTGGCCACACCTTTCTTAATTTTAAACCTTGGTAACCCTAGGGGGACAGTTCTGCCTTGTCCTGTGTGGTCACTGTGTGTCAGCAATGACTTGACAACAATAGGTTTTGTCTTTGACATATGTATGTTCATGACTGGTTGTCTTTAGGAGCCGTACCTATCAGAAGCAAGCTAAGCAAGCTAAGCGCTGGGCTTTGAGGACCTCAGGGAGCCTAACTTAAGTGCTTGGCAGTCAGCTGTGTGGAGGGTGACCTGTCCTCAGCATTTGTTTACTGGGAGCTGTTGACTACTCTTTGGGGCCCCTGGGAGGGTTGGGTTGTTCTCCAGTGACTGGCATAGCTCCATGCTTGAGATCCATGTCCTGTCTCTTCCTCTACAGCTGGTCTCCAATGTCCTCATTTTCTCCTGCACCAACATCGTGGGTGTCTGTACCCACTACCCGGCTGAGGTTTCCCAGAGACAGGCCTTCCAGGAAACCCGGGAGTGCATCCAGGCTCGACTTCACTCGCAGAGAGAGAACCAGCAGCAGGTGAGTTGTGAGGTTGCCCTTCCCAGACCCTCCCGCTCCACCCCGACAGAACTGAAAGGGACCCTAGATCTGAGCCTCAGCTGCCTGGCCCCACCTCCCTGGGTGAGGCCCAGCCCCAAGGCTATGTTTCCCCTGGAGGGAGCCCAGCATTCCAGGCTCTATGGACATTCTCTCTGAGCACTGCCTGTAGCTTCCTCAGGTATCCCTGTGGTTAGTAAACAAGCCAAGCACTCCAGGCCCTGGGAGGCTGGAATGTGAGATGGCCCCTCCTTCCATCTCTTCCAGGGTCCACCACCCACCTGCCTCTGAGGGATCAGTTTCCTAACTGGGACTACTGACTCCTCAGGGAGAGAACAAGGAGTAGGAGAGGAGGTCGGAACAAGTTGTCTTCTCAGAGCTCTGGGGTTCAGCTGGTTGTATCAGACAGAGACAGGAAGCTGGTCCCATCTTGCCCTGGTCCTCGTCCTTTGAGAACCCGGGCAAGCAGCCTGTTCTCACAGGCCACAGACTTGGGCGGGTTTTTCCCTAGAGATCACGGGAGTCCATGTCTATTCCTCTTAGTGGCTAGGTGGACAGGACTAAGGACCTTCCAGTATGGAGGTTCAGGACACCACTGTCTTCTCGCCTGTGTGAAGCAGATGGAACTCCTGGGAACTCTGAAGCAGTATAGAGCCAAGTAGCCCCAGATAGGAGGTTGTCAGACTCTGCTGGACACAGTCAGGCATGACTCTTTTGAGATTCAGTTATACCAAACCAGGATGTCTTCCCTCCCCTTTTATGTTAGTGACTCCCAGGGAATTACAGACTCTCCAAACCCCTCAAAAATGTTGTTGTTGTTAAATGCCATTGAGATGGTTCCTACCCACAGCAACAACCCTGTATAGGATTTCTGAGGAAGGGAGTCTGTGTACCCAAATTCAATTCCTGGCCAATGCACCTCCTGTTCAGCCACCTCCCATCTGTCAGAGGAGGCTTGTGTGTTACTATGAAGCTGATGAGATTTCATTGGAACTTCCAGACTAACACAGATTAGGAAGAAAGGTCTGGTGATTGACTTCTAACAAATTTACTAATGAACATCTTGTGGATCACAGTGGTCTGAGCCCATTATGCATGGGTCATCTTGGGTTGGAGGCTAACTTGGTGGCAGCTAACAACTATGCACCAAGCACGTTGTGTCAGCCTGATGACAGATATAAACACAGAAGAGCAGGCATGGGGAGCAGGCATGGGGAAGACAGCCGCCAAGACGGGAGTGGTCCTTGTGGCTCCTGGTCAGCATGGAGTGCACACTGTAACTCCCAAGTCCAGCGCAGTTTTACTACAATGTGAGGACATCTCTGACTGTCGTGGATGCTTCTAAGTGAGGTGGGCCGTGGCATCCATGCAGCTGAGCAAGGGCATAGAGCTCTGAAATGTCTCTGCAGGCCTCCCGCTCCCATGTCCTGCCAGTTTCCTAGCTTATCCTGACCAGTTCAAGGCCTAGCTCTCCTCATTCGCTCTTCTGACCTCAGTGCACTCTTGAGTCACATCCTCTTGGCTGAAACCCCTAATGAGCAGGTGTCCCTGGGTCCCCCCAGTGTCTTTTCTTGCTGAACTTACCTCACTTTTGGCGCATGCCCCTAAACCTGTACATTTCCTCAAAAGTCCCTAATCCATTTCAGGTCCTACCCCCAGCATTCCCACCTGAGGTCAGAATGGCTTCCTTCCCTTCTGTTTTCGGGGTATTCTCCTCTCATTTCTGGAGCTGTGTCTCTGGGCCTCATCTCTGCTCCAGGAGACATTAACCCTTCATAGTTCCTTACAGTTTACTTGCTCTGGCCCCAGCCAGGTTGAACATCCCATCAAATCCACAGGGATTTGGGGAAGAAAATACTTTTGTTGTACTATGTTCAGGGCCAAGATGCTGAGACAGACAGGATTACTTCCTGGGGACAGGCCATCCCATCACTCAGCTGGAGTCCAGCAAAGTCTTGGGCTTCTCCCTGCCCTCTGCAGAAAGAGCTGCTCTTGGGCCCCAGGGGAAGCTGCCAGATGCCTCATGGGAGGAGGGAACTGAGAATTGCTCTCTTGGCTGTCCTCTACCCATACTTCCTGGCCCTTAGCCCCAGAGGTTGTTATAAACGTAGGAAGGCCTCTCATGAATCTAAGCAATGTGTAGTACACTTTCTCCCAATTGTCCTATATTTTCACAGAATTGGCCTTTCATTCATGCTTCCATCACCAGTAACTATTTGTTGAGAGTTCAATAAATACAAGCTGGCCTTTAATAGCCATGTTTACTGACCACGGGGGAGACCGGCTAGACCCACAGAGAGCAACATTCTTCACCGATGGCTGTACTGATGTTTCCTGGGCGGGAGGCTCTGGGCAGTGTAGCTGAACAAGACACAGCGGCTGTCCTTGGAGGTCTCTCATTTCACACATGAAAGGGAGGCACACAGTTAACAGCCACTGAAATACTGGATGACCAGGCACAGGGCAGGCAGGGGCTTGGCTGCCTCAGAGAGGATTTCCAGAGGAGCTGAACCTGAGGGAACTTGGGAGCGATGTATAAGGATGGTGATCCCAGTTGAGGGCCTTGAGTGTGCCAAAACAACAGAAATTACTGGAAAATTGGGGAATTTCCATGGTTCACTACATCTGTAGCCCCCTAAGTTCAGAGCAGGATGGAGTGTAGATTTCGTTTTAGGAGGTGTTGGGGGAGGAATGTGGAAGGGCAAGATTGTAGAAGGCTCAAGGTTCATTTAGGGGTGAGGGGCTGATCCTGGAAGCTTCGGGAAGCATCCCAGACCAGTACCAATTGATGAGTCAACTCTGATTCAGAGGGTCCCCATGTGCATCGGAACAGAACTGTACTTCAGAGGGTGCTCAATGGTTGCTTTTCCTCCCTTCAATGGACTCAAACTGCCAATCTTTCAGTTAGCAGCCGTGTGTGTTAACCCTTTGCACCACCCAACGACTCCCCCCAGACTCCAGCTCCTTGCAGTGTGGGGTTTTAAGAAGGGCCCGGGCAGCAGCGTGGTCAGGCGTGTGTTTTAGAAAGGTCACTCTTCAAGTGGGTGTTTCAGGAAAGCTACTCTGCTTGCTTGTAGTGTGGAGAGTGGATCAGAGGCTGCAAGCTTGGAGACAGGGAGACTAATTTGGATGCTGTCTGGGTCTTCCAGGTAGAACCTAAAGTTGTCCTGGACCTGTTGGGGAGGAAGGAATGATGGATTTGAGAGCCATTCAGGGGAGGCGTTGCCAGCATGAGCCAGCCTCATGGAGGCTTTAGGAGCCTCAGGGAGGTGGCAGTTAGAGGGCTTGGATGGCACTTCTTGGAGCTAGAGCTCTGCTCACCACTAAGGTGGATGTGTCAGATACAACATGTTAGTAAGAAGAGAGTAGCGGGGGTCTGGGGTTGAGCATCAGGGAATAGGGGTTGAGGTGAAAATAAGGAAGAAAGGGTTCAGTGAGTGCAGGTGATAGCCTGAAGAATTCACAGGTAATATGGTTGGTAAGAGCCAAGGAACCTTTGAAGAAATTACATGACAAGTTGTGTTTATTGGAGCAAGAAGGCCTGAGGGGGGGCTGTCTGACCGGGGTGATGGGATGGGGAAGGAGGAGAGAGCTGCAGCAGAGGTGGATGTGGTGCAGATAGGACAAATACAAGAGCTGTTTCATAATCAGCATTTCATCAGTGTCGGACAGGCCCTGGGGCTGAAGGGAAAAGAATGAATCTCAGTGGAAAAGTTTTGAGAGGTAGAAGAAATTTGCCTGGGTGAGGTGATCAGGAGAATGGGGCCATTGCGGGCAGAGAGCTCAAAGAGAAGAGCCTCTGGGGAGTGGACATGGGGTGAGATGTCCAGAGGATGGTGGGCAGCACATCCAGGTGGGAAGTGGGGAAAAAAAGAACCCTGGAAAGATACAGGAATAAGGGAGGTGACTGAGCAGAGATAATGGTGGAAACCGTGGCAGTGGATTTACTTCCAGAAAAGTGGACAGAGGGAAGGGATACCTTTGTGCAGGGTAGGAAGAGAGGAGGCAGCAGCCGAGGGCTACGCCCAAGTCATAATGAGGAGGAGGCACGTGGAGGCAGCTCGAGATGAGAGGACTCGAGAATGAGAGCATGTGGAGGGCAGAGATGGAGACTGCCAACCTGGGAGACCAGTGAACATCTTGGAGCCCGGACGCTGTAACAGGACTGATGTGGCCCTCCACAGCGTGACCCCACTTCCTGCATCTCTCCCACCTCCCCTTTAGCAGATGTGAACCTCTCTCAGTTTTTCAAAGTCGGCTTGCTTTCCCTGCCCTTGACTGATACAACCTGTGTGGAATGGGATCAGCCTTCTCGCTTCATCCACTTTTTCCCCAGCCTGGGTCAAGTACCCCTGCTTGTGGCCCCATGAGACTGGAAGCTTTGGGAGGGGAGCAACATGTCTGTCCCTCTCATGACTATAGCCCCAAACACCTAGCATGTGGCATGGAACATAGTAGGTCTTCAGTAAATATTTGATGACTGATTGAATCTCATTTAATGCTCTTGACAACCCCATTCCTGTTCTATACATGAGGAAACTGAGGCTCAGAGAAGGTCAGTGATATGCCCAAGGTCACATCCAGGATTGGAACCTCTGGTGGGTGCTCAGTAGCACACAGGTTCACCTGGAGTGACTAGGGAGCCTTGGGGACAGGACTCCAACCTCTGAGACCAGGATTCTCAGGATAGCCTTAGAGGGTTTCCAGGCCCAGCACGCTGCGGAGTGACAGCAGTCCAGTGTTAGAATTCTGACCTTCTGTGTAGGAAACCTACGATTGATTCCCAGCCAATACACTTTATGTCTGTTGGTGGAAACTTGTGTTGCCATGACACTAAACAGGCTTCAATGGTAAATGCAGAATAAAATGAAATAGGAATAAAAGCCTGATGATCTATTGTTGATGAAAACCCTATGACCGCAATGGTCTGATCCCCAAATGATCATGGGTTCGGCGCAGGACCAGAAAGCATTTCACTCTGTGTATGGGGTTGCCATGAGTTGAGGGCCAATTCGATGGCAGTTACCCACAGAAACAAGTCTGTGGGGGCACAGGTGCGGGGAGGAAGAGAACTGTGACGAAAGAGTCTGCTTTCCTCCCCAGGAGCGGCTTCTACTGTCTGTCCTTCCCCGGCATGTTGCCATGGAGATGAAAGCAGACATCAACGCCAAGCAAGAAGATATGATGTTCCATAAGATTTACATCCAGAAACATGACAACGTGAGGTAGGGGTGAGGCTGCTGGGGCCAGGGCAGGGTGGGAGGACTAAGCCCCAGAGGAGGACCACGAGGCATCATGCCTCACTCCAACAGGGTGGTCTGGTGGTTCTCCCACCCTTTCAGGTCTGCGGAATGAGTTATCATTGAGTCTGATTTAATTTTCTTTGTGGCGGGGGTGGGGAGGCTGCAAGGAGAAAATAGAGAAAGAAAGAGGAGAAAAGAAGAAGCAACAATCTCAGGGAATTCCTGGTCTAAGCAGGGAGACAGGAAGCATAGACTTGGGACCTCAATATGACCATCATCATCATCTTCATCACAATCTTCATCACCATCAAGCAGCTTCTGTGCCTTCCAAGCCAGTGTGTGCCAGGCATCATATCAGACATTGCCCAGGTTATCACTAATCTTTCTGACAGCCCAACAAAGTAGGTATCCTGCCAGCATCCCTGATTGACAGATCAAGCTTAGAAGGGTTGAAACCCCCTGCTCAAGGTCACCCTGTCAGGAGTCGGGAAAGCTGGTTGTGCCACTAAGTCTGCCCTCTCCTCCAGAGCCCACACTTTCAACTGCATGTTGCTGTCTCCCTGGACATAGTCGCTGACAGCAGGGACATGCAAACAGATGTAGATTAATAGAGTGCAAAATCTGCTTATGAGTCCACAGGGACATGGAGTGATACAGTGGCCTTCATCCAGCATGGCTTCCTGGAGAGACCGATAATCCTCCCACACACCCGGAAGAGGAGCCACTGTGCATGTCTGCTAGACAGCTACTTTCTCCCCAGACAACTTTTCCTGGGCCTGCAGCCCTTTAAGGGCTTGTGCTGAAATTTTAATAGAGGGATTAAAAGGAATAATGTAAACAAGAATTTTATATATTATATATATGTTGTTGTTGTTATGTGCCATGGAGTTGGTTCCAACTCATAGCGACCCTGTACAGGGTTTCCGAGGCTGTAAATCTTTACGGGAGCAGAACGCCTTATCTTTCTCCCGCGGAACAGCTGGTAGTTTCGAACTGCTGACCCTGAGGTTAGCAGCCCGATTCGTAACCAGTACACTACCAGAGCTCCATATACTAAAGTGCCGTCAGATAAATTTCGACTCATAGCAACCCTGTATAGGGTTTCCAAGGAACGGATGGTGAGCTTGAACCGCTGACCTTGCGGCTCAAATCAACTTTGCAGTCCAGCGCATTAATCAGCAGTGTCACACCAGGACTCCATATATATGTATATATGTATATTGTTTTGTTAAGTGCCATAATGGGTTCTGACCCATAATGACCTATATAGGGTTTCCAAGGAGTGGCTGGTGAACCACTGACCTTGCAGCTCAAACCAACTTTGTAGTCTATCTAGTGCATTAACCCACTGCGCCACACCAGGACTCTATAATGGTGGTTATATGCCATGGTATCAGTTCCAACTCATAGCCATCCTGTGTAGGATTTCTGAGGCAGTATATCTTTATGGGAATAGAAAGCTTCATCTGTCTCCTGACAGGGTGACTGGTAGATTCAAACTGCGGACCTTGTGGTTAGCAGCCCAACTCGTAACCCACTATGCTACTAGAACTTCATGTTGTTACTGATTTTTACATGCTGTTGAGTTGGTTCTAACTCATAATGACCCTGTATAGGGTTTCCGAGGAGCAACTGGTGGGTTTGACCCACTGATCTTGTGGTTATCCAGTTCTTATAGTGCTGTATTACCAGGACACTCTCTCTCTCTCTCTCTCTCTCTCTCTCTCTCTCTCTCTCTATATATATATACATATACATATAAACACACACACATACATATAGTTGTTGTTGTTGTTAAGTGCCTTCAAGCCGGTTCTGATTCATAGTGACCCTGCAGAGGGTTTCTGAGTCTCTTTTTAAATCATTGCAGGAGCAGAAAGCCTCATCTTCCTCCCACAGAGTGGCTGGCAGGTGGGTAATGTCTTTATCACATGGAGTTAGCAGAACACCCAGTTCCCAAGTGTATTCTTGGATCCAAGACCCTCCATTCTGCCTATGTGCCCTCCATCCATTCTCCAAAGCAGAGACTCTAAACCTTTTGTAGACAGATTTCTTCGGGTTCATCAGAAAAATGTGCCTGCCATACAGATTTGTCATTGGTGTTAAGAGTCTCCCAGTTCCCCCAAAGCAGGGTGATGGGGATAAAGCAGCAACTTCAGTCTCCCAGGAAGACGGCTGCCCAGGCAGGATCTCCATGTCCAGGGGGCTTTTGGAAGTGGGGACTGCAGGCCTAGCTGAGCTGAGCTCAGAGGGGGAAGTGGGGTCTGAGGCTATTGATTTCTGGACTTGAACCCTTTTGAGGTAGCGCTAACATATCAGTTTCCCTGTTTCTCTTCCTCACATGTGCCCCTGTCCTCAGATGGCGAAAGAATCAATCATTAATGATAATAGCTCATATGCAGAGTTCACTTTCCCAGGCACTATTCTCAATACTGTCATTTAATCCTCACAACATTTTGTAGATGAGTAAACTGAGGCACAGAGATTAAGTAACTTTTCCAAGATCCCATAGTTAAGTTGGAGAATTGCCACAGTAATCTTTTGGTGTCAGAATTTCTACCTAGTCCGACTACTGTTGCTGTTGTTAGGCACGACTGAGTCATTCCAACTCAACTGCTGGTAAGATTTCTTAGGATTTTGGGTGTTGGCAAAGAATATTGAAAGTATCATGGATTGCCTAGAGAACAAACAAATTAGTCTTGGACAAAGTGTAGCCAAAAAATGCTCCTTGAAAGTGAGGATGGCAAAACGTCATCTCACAGTCTTTGGATGTTTCAGGAGGGACCAGTTCCTGGAGCAGGATATCATGCTTGGTAAAGTAGAAGATCAGCAGTAAAGACAAAGACCCCAATGGAGATGGATTATCACAGTGGCAGTAGCAGTGGGCCTAGCATAACAGCAATTGTAAGGCTGATTCAGGACCAGGCGGTGTTTCATTCTGTTGTGCAGAGTGTTGCTATGAGTTGGAACTGACTTGACAGCACCTAAAAATACAACAACAACATTTCAGGAGCAGATCACCAGGTCTTTTCTTCCCTGGAGCAGCTGGTGGGCTCAAACCGCCAATTTTTTACATAGCAGCTGAGAACTAACTTAACCCTTGTGCCACCAGGACTCCTTGCTGAACTTGTTAAGTGCCTTTGAGTCGGTTCTGATGCATAACACGTCTGAATTGGGTTTCCGAGGAGCAGCTGGTGGGTTTGAACCTTCGACTTTGCAGTTCAAACTGACCTGTGGTCCAGTGCATTATCCTGCAGCATCACACCAAGACTCCTAGGCAGTTAATATTTGGAGTGCTGTAGGACAAAGCATTGGACTGCAAGGTAAGTGGTTCAAACTGAACAGCCGCTCCTCAGAAACTTTATATTGCGTTGCAATGAGTCGGAATGACTCAACTGCGCTTAGCAACAGGAAGAAGGAGTTTCTTTTGAGAGCTTGTGGGAGGAAACTTAGGAAGCCCTTAGGCCAAGAGGGGAGTGAGGAGAGAGATGTGCCTCCGCATGTGCTCTTGTATCTGTGTGACTGTGTGTTTGTGTGTTGGAGAGGAGCCACGAGGGCCCTTTCCTATCTGATGGTGACCCTGAAATCTGGAAGTCTCCACAAAGTTTGTTCTTTTGGAACAAACCCCAGATGCCCAAGTTTCAGGTGAGAAGAAGTGGCCTGCTAAGTCATCCCAATGCATTGTTGTTAAGTGCCATTGAGTTGGTTCAGACTCATGGCGACCCTATATAGGGTTCCTGAGGAGCAGCCGGTCAGTTTGAACCGCCAACTTTGCAATTCAACCTGACCTTGCAGTGCATTGCATTAATTCTCAGCTCCAAACACTTAAGTTCTCCCTTCTGGATTTTATCTCTTGGTTCTATCATCACCCCCGCAGTTACCCCCGCATTGTCCCGAGCCGGGAAAGGCAGAATGTGCTTTCCTTGGTCACTCTTAGCACAGCAGACTTTGTACAGATTTCACTAAAATACCAAGTAGAGCACAAAGGGAATCCAGAAACTTCACGCATGAGAAACAGTCCAGAATTCAAGACACAGGTTCTCAGCCTGGCGTGGCCACTCCACATCTGGAACATCTGCATCTCTGCCCAGTTCCTTGCCCTTTCATCCCTTCTCTTTCCCATCTCACTTCCAGTCCCACAGCCACTGGCTCTTGAATCCCCCAGCCCTCCAGCAAAGGAGACTGGTTAGAAGGGCTGACTTGAGTCTCTTCCAGTGATCACCACAGGAATGGCTCACCCCTCCCTTCCCGCTCAGTCAGGGACTTCAGGTCCCATCAGTAGAAGAACAGTACCTCAGTGACAGAGTGGTCCCAGCATTGCCCAGCAGGAGTCAGACTCCAGCACGGTGGGGGCACTTCTGTTCTCAGAAGGACATGCTCAGGATCAATGACAGCAATCAGGAAAGAGATGAAAGGAGAGCATGACCAAGATGCTGAGATTTTCATGGGGACAAAGCTAGTTCCCACTCTGAAAGCACTAGGGATTGAGGTAGCCCCACATACATCAGAGGCCAACCATGAGCAATCATATGCAAATATCCTTCTGGGCCCCTTTCCCTGCTCCATTAATGACACTGGGTGCAGCCTTTGAAGGAAACAAATTGCACACTCTGATCTCTGCTTTGTGGTTGAACCTTTGCCTGGAGTGGGGATTGAGCAGTAGGTGGGGGGTGACAACATAGCGTGGAAATGTGCTTTGGGTTCTGAGACAGCCAGGGTTGTGCAGTACTTAAGCCTGGACTCCGGGGCTAGTCAGTTCTGCATGTTGTCCCAGCTCTGGTGTTTCCTGACTACGTGACTGGGCAAGTTATAGGCATTGAGCCATTTTGAACCTCAGTTTCTTCCTCTGTATAGTGTTGTTAGATGCCATCGAGTTGGTACCTACTCATAGAGACCCCTGTGCAAAACAGAATGAAACACTGCCCGGTCCTGAGCCAATCTCTCAAAATTGTAGCCACACTTGAGTGCATTGGTGCTGCCAC